GGCCAAAATGTCAAAAGTATTTGGGAGCTCTTATCTAATCCCTAAAAGATTTTAGGGTTACCTCTTCAGAGGGGGAATGTTAAAGTAGAAAATAGCCCCATTAAAAGAAAGAAAGGAAATAAAGAAAGAAAGAAAGAAAGAAAGAAAGAAAGAAAAAAGAGTACACAAAGTTGTCAGAAAAAAGTGATAGGGAGATATGGGAGGTGTTGGAGGGGAGGGAGTGGGTGTGGATGCTCTCAAAACACCTTATATGATCAAAACACCTTTATCCTCAATAAAGTTTTTTTTAAACTTTAAAAAAGAAGTGAGGAGGTTTAAAATATGGTGGTTGTGTAAGAAATAATTGCAAAGAAGGTGTGCCTTCTTCCCTGGTAGAAGGTAGATTACTTTCTGGAGGAGTTATGTACGCAGTTATAGATAATCTAGAGGTACCAGGCAAATGGAAGAACAATATTGATAGGGGCAACTTGAAGGAATGTGAAACTACCCAGGTCTCTTTTCCCTCCTTTGTTCATAGGGTCCTAGAAATCAGGTTTATTCTGCATCAACTGCTGGGCATGCTAGTCCCTCCCGGCTAGAATAACGAGACCAGGAATTGCTATGGAGAAATGCCAGTGTAGATGAGACAGCTGTGGTGATGAGCTAGTGCTCAGATGGAATGAGGACCACACATCTTATTTACGTCCTCACTTGAAATAATATGAGGTCCATCTCTCCTGGAAATATAGTGTGTTTCCGGTTCCTATCTGAACTGTGAACCCCAGGACCCTGGGAAAACAGCCTCTGTCAGCCTTCTTTTTTGCATAGGCCTACTGTTTCCAGTTTCAGAAGATTTCTCATTCTTTTGCTTTGTACCAGCCTCCCTCACACTTATATCACCATCTGAGGTTGAGATGCCAGCAGCCACCAATGTGTGAAGAAAAGGGTATGCTGGGGCCCAAGTACTCACTCTGGCTGTTGTTCTAGGTTGTCCTGACACATCATGCAGGAACCCAGGATGTCTGCATTGGAGGGACTGAGACTTATCTCACTGCACAGGGTAACTTGGCAGCTGTGTCTGTCTCCAGGGAAAATCGGAGTCACAGAGGACTCACTCTACTTACGTACTTAGGGAATGGGAAAGCTGGAGCTGGCTTTGAAATCATGGGCAAAGTGTTTATAGGAATTAAATCATAAGAAAGGGACTCATAGACTCCACAACATCTCATCAAATTTAACTTATCTTCAGAGAATGTCAGCATTTACAGATTCTGAATTTGAAATCCTTCCAGGAAAATATTCCTTAAGCCTCCTATTGGGACAGAGCA